ATAATTCATTATCAGTGCAATGTAATTAAATAACAATATCAAAGATTACATCAAACAAAAAACACACAAGACCCTTTTTAAGATCTGACACTATTCATACAACACACACACAACACACACACACACACACACACACACACACACACACACACAACACACACCACACACACACACACACACACACACACACACACACACACACACACACACAGACACACACCACACACACACACAGCACACACATCACACAACACACACACACACCACACGTCACAGTACAACAATTACACAGCAAACAACAACAATTCACCTCAATCTCCTCGGGCTCAGCTGTCTTCGCTCGCTTATTGGCTGAGGGGGTTGGCGCTGCTTTGGAAATGTTCGGGGACCGGATGCCACTATAAAGTAGTGAGGCACGATTTTAAAAAAATAACAGTTTACATTAACAACGTCCATATATGACATACGTTACATTGTATATAATGATTAATATTTATACACTGACTATTTCTGTATATTACTGTATAATGTATACTTACTGTATACTAATGATAATATCTATTACACTCATTATTTCTGCAGTCTCGTCCAAGCTCGTTTGTTGGCTCATCCATATGACATCCGCTTTATCTACGATGTTCGTGTGATGTCGATTAATTCTTTTCGTGTGATCTACAAAATGATAAGACAATTAGATGATATAATTCATTACTAATAATAATGATAATGATTGAACAAATAAAGGGGCTAATAATGATTATTGTAATGGTTAATTTATTAATGCGTTGATAACATGCCCACTATTTGCACTCAGTAATATCTATCGTACAATATAGTCATCATACATATCATTGCTCGTCAATCTCCACATTCAATATACTCTGCATTCTCATTCATGCATTCTACTCATTACTTTAACCTATACATAATTCGGTCCAATTAAATCTTATTACATTCACTAATAATAATTATTATTATTCATAATGACTAACTAATAATACTAACCCAATAGTTAGAATACATCTAAATTACACCTTGATCGAGTATGATAACAGTAATTTTGATAATTAATAATAGAATAATAATGATCAATAATCATAATTGATTTAGCAATAATTTACTTTTGATATCAACAGCCTAAGAACACATCTCTAACCTCAACAACTCAATACTTCACTCAATTCATCATGCCTATTAATTCAATCCATGATGCACGTGGACACACATCACTTGTAAGGTGACTTAATTCACGATAATTGTCTCTCTACTCATACTATCAATGATAATGACAATATAATTGTAACATATCATACTAATGACTCTTATTTCGTATAGCTAGTTCTGCACTAATTAATTCGTTTGCTCGTTGATGATGTTATCGATATGATGATGATGATATAATGATTGATTAATTTTAAGGCTTTTAATATATCTATTAACATTAACTGTCTAGTATTTTTTTGCCAAGTAAAGCCACTTCATGAGTGCTTGCGAATGATCATATATAAAGACACTTACACGATCAGCAGCCTCACTCATATTAATAACACTTTTACTATACACTACGTCACGAAATCACTCCGATCAATACACTCACACATCATATTTGTGCGAATTTTCCGGACAACATTACACTGACAAGGGGAAATACGCCGTACATGTGCTGACTCATCATATTTTCTCATTTACCCGTGCGTAAGCCTCTTCCAAGTCAGTGACACGACTATCAAGTTCTCAAATAAATAAAAAAAAAGACACTAAAAGCAATCGGTCTTTCTATTGCGAGATACGCGCCGTTGCACAAAGACCGAAGTGAAGAGCCTGGGACGGTATGCACAACAGACACGTGAAACGCCGCTAAGAGCAACAAAGATTAAAGATACTTATCAAAGCAGAGGAAGCCAGACGAGAGGAATACAAAAGAAAACAGAACCAAAGATGAGAACATGGACGGAAACAAAGAGAAGGCGTGGATAGTACATCGGAGACACGTGCAAGGACATAAATAAGGAGGAAACATGTTGAACACGTTGAGTCTTTCCCCGCATGTTCATCCAAATAAGGAATGTGGGATTTGATTGAAAAAATGGCGAAGCATGATAATTAAAAATGAAAAATTAAGAAATGTTAATGATAATGATGGTGTTTCATCATGATAGTGATAATGATAATGAAAATATAAACATCTATGATTAATGTAGTGATAATAATGGAAATGAAAAATAATACCAGATAATGCTGATAACGATTTATACAAACAACAACAATCTGATGATAATAACGATTAATTGTTGATAATTCAATGGTGCATGATTGAATAAAAGTAATAATGAAACTATCAATTGATATAAGCGGTCAATTAATAATAATTGATGATGATAATGATTAATGATAATAATTAATACTGATGATAAAACTCAAATATACATTTTATATGATACATATCAATAACAAAAAGAATCAATAATGGGTAATGGTCAATATATAAAACACTCATAAA